AATATATAATCTAGGTTAAGGCTTTTATGTCCAACAGATGGCGCTACGAGTACGATGCCCTAAGTTTGCTTTTCTGTGAGGCATTATGCTTTTCTGTGAAAATGAACTAAAGCAGATCATCATCTATCTATCTATATAAATAAAAATGTAATATTTGTTTGTTCCTACCGATTCCTTTGAAATGTTGACACAACGCTGCATTCGAATACGCACGTGTTTTTATATAATATACGTGTCGAAATTCAACCCCACTGAAGGGAGATGGTTAGGATTAAGGCTTACGGTAAAGAACTCTGTTTCTATTTATACTATTTTAGATGCGGGTATTTGCGTTTTTGATTGCGTTTTAATAGGGTACATCAAGAGAATGTACACTAAGAAGAAATTTTTCAAAAATTCTCCCCCACGGGGGAAGTATTATAAATTTATAATAGATACATTTTGAGCCACAACAACGCGTGGCGGGTCTGCTAGTGTTATATACAAACAAAAATCACATAAACTGCTTTCAGAAACAAAAAAAAAAAAAGCCTTTACTCTCTGTAAATTTTAAAGCACTTGTACCCATCATTGGATTACACTGTTCATATTTAATGATCTGTACATTTTTCCACTATAAGAAACAATATATAAGTAGTTGTTAATCTGAGATAAGTAACCTGATGCTGGGTACAAGAGCACTCAAAAATATTAAGTAGAATAAATTATATATATATATTATTATTATTATATCTGTAATATATGTAATCATCTTATCATATTTTAATTGATCAATTGAATTGACAGACGATTCTGAAAATATTTGAAAGGTTTGCATTGATGGCATTGATCTTTATGTATATGTAAATGAACTTTAATCAGGAGTACATGGCATATTCATAACATAAAGATAAAGTCCAAAAATATTTTTAAAGCATTTTAATTTTAGGTTCATTTTAGAACATATTTTTATTTATTTTTCAATGTAGTTGCCATCAACCTCAATGTGTTTGATGAGCCTGGAAATGAGTTTCTTGATGCAGATGTCATAGAAATCTCCTACCTGCTGGCATAACTATGTCATTGCCACATCTTGGACCTTGTTGTTGTCATCAAACTTCTTTTCAGAGAGATGTTCCATCAACTTCAGAAAAAGTGATGTTTGCTTTGTGCGAGATATGGACTGTGCAATGGGTATTTCAAAACTTCTCACTTGAATATCTGCGACAACTTTTTTCTGACACAAACTGAGATGGGAGCTATCGTGCAGTAGGATACCATTTTGTGTTTTGCCTGTTTATAATGTCTTCGCCATAAATGGAAACAAGTTGCCAATGAATTTCAGTGGCAGTTTGTCCTTTCAGGCAAAGGAGTTGAATCATTGAACAAACTTCATACTTAGTGGGATTACAATTGACATGGCCATTTTAAACACACTGCAAGCTTAACAATGATACAATTTAAAAGGAGTGACTTATGTCATGTGACTCAGACACAGCAGTACAGAAAACTGTGAAATAATAATTTTCCTTGGATTTTGATTGGCCTTGTATCTTTACTTTCCAAATATTCTTCATGTATCTAAATATAAGCCAACTAAATTTGGATTTTTGACAAGACTATGTCTTGCTTATAAAATCGTACTGCCTGATGTTCTTACCAGCATAGAGGTATGAAGGAGTATATGTCGAGAGTTGATATTTGGCACAGAGTATTAGGTGCCCAAATCATTTGCGCATAAAAAAATCCAGACTTATAGGTAGTCGGGGGACCGAGAATCGAGTCAAAATAAAATACAAAATGGCGACCCTCTTCTACAAACAGGCAAAACAGCCACCTCACCCCACCGAAGTCAGGTAGGGGAGAGTACCACCCACAATCATTCTAAGAAGTGAATTCTGACCTTAGGACTACACAGTTTCTTCTATGTTAAATAAAATTTGTAATCTAATTTTGTAAATTTGAAATGCTTCATATATGACGTTAAAACGGTTTTATGTCATTACAAGTGGGCTTTTTTAACATTGTGTAGTATAGTAAAATTGTAGGATCAATAAAAATTTGACATATTAAGATTGTCGTTACATCCGATGACATTATAATCAGGTTAAACTGTATATTGTTTGTGCAAAATAAAAAAAATAATTTTGGACAATACAATAGCCACAATTATTTTTTTCAAAAACAGGAACTTTTCGTTACGCATTGACAAAAATTCAACCTGGGCCGACATGCAACGGAGAAAAATTTTAAAATTAGATAGGTTAATTTCATCGAATATGCATCATGGCCAGCGAAGTTTGAACGATTGCGCCCAAATGCAGTGATATCAAAGAAGATAGAATGAGAACGAGACCTTCCTTGAGCATCAAAGAGATTGTCCCTGAGACATAGTCGTGTCTGAAATATGGTTTTGCCTTGTTTGTATTAAATTCTATAATTTTTAAAATTGCATATATAAATTACTGATTTGTGTGTATATTTATGAGATTAGGTAGAAAAGTCCCAAAGGACAGTTGATATTTACTTGTAAAAATAAATAAATAAAATATACACAAATCAAGCTAGGTTAATTAGTTTATACTGGATAAATGCAACAAGGAACCTTAAAGTGTTTGTTTTCGGGGTTTAAGAAGTATATACAGATGCAATATTTTGAGACATTTCATCTCACATTCAGATTCAGAGTTGAGAATTAAATTTAATACAAGATGGTACAGTGGTCTACTGTATTTTTAAATTATATTGCATGTTAATTTAAACAACTAAAGTTATAGTTTAGTTATAGGATTACTATCCAGAGTTATTTGGTTAATATTTATTTTGGAATGTATTGGAAATACAGCAAACACTCAATTTAATGGACTAGTTAGAGCAAGTGGGAGTGTGTTAATGTCAAAATCCATGACATTGAACATTATCAATGAAAAGACAGTTGATGTCATTTTAAATTGTAAGGATTAAAAAATTATTTAATAAATAAATAATTCAGAAATTATAGAAAAACACTGTTTCATTATATTCTGCTTCGTGTTTGTGTGTTATTTTTACAGAAAAGAGATTCCATGTATTCCATCCCAACTCTGATTCTAACAGAACATGCTCCCATGCCAACATGGAGTAAACTTAAATTGATGAACTTGAACAGATTTTTTAATCCTTTGTTTTGACCAGCCCCCATTCTGTTCATAATGGGGCAGTTAGGTCGGAACTGACATATCCACGGCAGATCATCAAGGGAAAATACTTGGGGTTTTTCAATCAATCTGGATTCATTTTGTGTCTCCCAGATCAGTGGGCTAACACCTTATCCACTCAGCCATCCTGCTGTCAAGCTTAAATAGCAGCTGAATCAGTTTCCTGCTAATATACCACCTACTCCCCTCTGTTTCTTACTTGTTAGTCAAAATGAATGAATTCTGCAGTTTGTTAAATTGAAAGTTTACTGTATTCATTATTACCGGTAATTAAACAACAGGAAAAATTTTAATAATAAAAATATTCAAAGTTTAAGAGAAAAAATAAAAGTGTGAAATTTTATAAAATATTTTTGCTTTTTTTTAATATTTATTTATAGTTTTAAAATTTTCTTTTATAGCTGAAGCTGGAATATTACCATTTCTATCTGTGATAGCCGGACAACAGCAAATTTCAGCTTCGGCGGTAGGAGTGATATTTACTATTCTTCCTTTTATTACGCTAGCAGCAAAACCATTCTTTGGTAGTGTTGCCGATCATCTACAAAAGTTAAAACTTATGTTGATATTATTTATTATAACATTAACATTATCTTATCATTGTATGTATTATATACCAAAACTTTTTATTAAAAACGAAGAAACAAATTTAAATATTTTGCTATTTTGCAATACAATCACTTCTTATTTCACTTTAGATGATAAATATAATTTGTCGTGCTTCCATTCTGCATTGAAGAATAATTACACAGAATGCAGCATGTCCTGTCAGCCTTGTAACTACTTAAAAAATAAAACAAATATTCATAAATTTGAAAATTTTACATTATTGGACTTTGCTTTGTGCAAACAAGAACATTTACAGTATTCAGTAAGCATTGAAAATATTTCTGATGCTTTTGTTATTACAGAAGCAGCATGGAGAAGTACATCTGTAAATCCAGTATGCTTTGATGAACGACAATTTTATTGCAGTATGAAATGCAATATATCATTTACAAACTGCATCAATAATGAAGAAGTTATTTATAAAACTCCACAGTTTTGGTTATTTTTTACTTTTATTAGTGTTTCCTGGGTTTCTTCTGGTGTAATAACGTCATTATCTGATGCGGCTTGCTACGAATTACTAGATGAAAGGAACGATCTCTACGGAAAACAAAGGTTGTGGGGCACTATAGGATGGGGTGTGTTTAGTTTATTTACTGGTCTTTTAAATGATCTCATAACAGGAGATTCACCACATAAAAATTATTCTGCCAGTTTCTATATGCTCATTGCACTTGTAGTTTTAGATTTAATTATTCTAATAGATTCCAATATTAAAAATGCTAAATTTTCTGAAACCTCTTTCAAAAATGTATGTATGCTGTTTTCCCAGATTCGTATAGTTATTTTTATAACAACTGTTTTTATTATTGGGGCTCTTACGGGTCTTCAATGGTCATACTTTTTTTGGTACATGACAGATTTAAAAGCTAATCAATTAATAATGGGTTTAGCTTTAGGTGTAGAAAGCTTTCTTGGTGAATTGCCATTTTTCTTCTTTGCCGGAGAAATCATAAAAAAGTTAGGTTATGTAAACACCATCAGTCTTACTTTATTTTCTTTTTCAATACGCTATTTATTGTATTCTGTTATTAATGATCCATGGTTGGTTCTACCAGTAGAATTGTTACAAGGACCAACGTTTGGTATATTTTATGCTGCAATGACTTCATATGCAAACATGATGGCACCAGCAGGAACAGAAGCAACAATGCAAGGAATATTAGGAGGAATATTTGAAGGTTTAGGTAAGTTTTTGGATTCTCAAAAATTTTTCAAAACTTTAAATTTCTTATATTAGTTATTTGTATTGTTGAAACTCAATTATCCAAAACAGTTTTTTTAAAATAAAAAGAAACCAGAGTGTGTAGCATTGTACAAAGACTAAATTCTTCATGCCACTAGAAATTGCTTTATCATCTGTCAATTGTGGTGGTACTAAAGTACTGTAGATCACTACATAACATTACATTAGGTTTTGAGTAAAGTAATTTACCTTCATGTACAATAATTACATTATAGTATTTATTGTTTGTGAAATTTTAAATGCACATTGCTTGATGCTGTACCCAAAGCAGAGTTTCTGGATTATCTGAAAGACCTAGTCCTATAAACTTTGGATAATTGAGTTTTCACTGTATTTAGAATTATCTGACATTCATTTTTTCTAGTCTTATTTGGACATTGAAATTTTGGAATTCATTAATAAGAATTCATGTTCAAATATATCAATTAAAAAACAGTTATATTTTATTGGACTGAATTCTTTAAATATTAAAAATAGACTTTTGTGTATTTTTGAAGAGTGTCAAATACAGTATTTAAGAGTGCCCATCAATAAAGAATTACTTTTACAGTCTTTCTTTATACATGATATTTATAATTAGTGTCATTATTTTTACAATATAGATTCAATTTATTTTCAGATGTATTATATATTACTTTTAATTCTAGAATATGATTTTGTAATATCTATATAAGATGTTCCCTTAAAAATTATTTTACTTTTACTTCTTATTAAAATTTAGAAAGTAACATTTATGTTTATATATATATATATATATAAAATGCAGTAGTCTCTGTAATCTGACATATACAGGTATCCTAAATTAATTGCGGAAATCCTTTTGCATACGCAGAAGAAGTTTTAATTAACATGGCTTTAACAACCATCTTTACTTAAAATTGTGTTAATCAAATAAATAATTAATGTTGATATATGTGGTAGCATCAAGGGATTAATTAACCTGGAGCAGACTTTGGATTACAGCAGGTTGTCAGATTACTGGATTTTATATGTATGTACAGTAGAATCTTGTTTTAATGGATTTTTTTCCCTAGGTCATTCCAAATCAATGTAATTTTACCACCTTTTAGCAGATCTGTAACTCAAAATAATGTTTTTTCTAGCCCCATTTATTGTAAACTTTGTGTTTTTTCAATGTTTATTAACCAGTTGATGACATTTGGGTGTCTCTGTGTTCCCATATAATATTTCTGTGTAATATTTGTTGAGTTTCTGGGACTCTGCCATAATTTCAAGTACAGGTATTTTTTATATGTATAAGGTTAAAAAATGGATTTTTTTGAATAGTTAAATTTTTCTGGATATGGAGGAAGTCTGTTATTTTCAGTATAATAGATTCTCAGAATAACAGATGATTTTCAGCAGTCCAAGTGATCTGTTGAAACAAGATTCTACTGTACATACTATACAGTAAAAAAAAGAACTTGGTTTATGTTAGTTTGTATTAATCATGATTATTGCTCATGCAATCAGCAAAACAGTCGTATACTGCCAGTCACAAGTTGTTTATATGTACTGTACAATACAGTACATCAGTCTCTGTCATATTGACAAGGGTAACACAAAAATTCATGTGCATGTCTGATTACTGATGTGACAGACTACAGAGAAAGACTACTTTATTTTAAAAAAATTTAATGATTTTCTCAATATATTATGTGTATACATTTTACTTGATATAATATGAATTACATAGTTTGTTCTGTATATTGTGGAATAAAGGTTATTTCAATAACAAAGCAAGTATTGCACATTTACAATAAATAATAACTGAAAATAAAATTTTTTAGAATGGCTGAAAAGTCACTATGCAAGATAGATAACATCTATCAGTAACTTTTCCTCACATATTTCTGATATCTTTATAAACTGATATACCAGAAACTGCTTTAATGCTTTGACTGTGTTTAAGTTTTCAAATGTATCGCAGCAAACTTGACAATTTCTTTTGGAGCATTATAAAAATCAGAAATTCCTCATGTGTTAAGTTTATAAGTCTAAATCTAAGAAATCAATCTTTCTTTTATTGTATATTCATTCATTTACTGTCATATTTGAGCTATATTGGGGGGAATAATAATCTAAGCCACAAATTTCATACAAGCAATTTTGTTGCCATTCTGTGTCTCAAAAATATGTGAAAGATCTTGAAGAATTTCAAGTAAATTATGATGTTAAGTACCATAATTTCCTGTATAATCTACAGCTTTTGTTAAAATCTTTCGACTGAAGAAATGATGAAGATTGGTCACTGCATAATCTGCCAGTTTTACCACAATATTAAAAAATAGTTTTAAAATCATTTTACTTTGATTATGGCATGATAGTGACAAGATGTTTTATTATTTGTGTCTGTATGACACAAAAGACAAAAAGTTTTCATAAATCCATTCTCTTCAACTGACAAATGGAATATAACGTTTATTGGCAAACCAAAGGACATGTAAATAATGTCTCCAATCTGATCTTTGTTAAAACATATTTTAAAGCTTTGCTTAGCTTAATCAATTGCAATTAATAGTGTCTGAGTCTTGTTATCTGTTGATATAGAGAGTATCTGTTTCAGTAATGAATCCCCAACTACTTATATGTTGTAAAATACAGGAAATTGTTCGTTTATAGGACTCTCCATCTTTCAGCATAGAATATTAAGGAAAAACCTTTTCCTCCAGAAAAATAAGTCATTTGCAATATAACAGTTAAAATATTATACATGAATATATCATTCAAAAGCCACTTAGCTGTAGTAAAAAGTAATAATACCAATGTGTTATTATTTAAACATTTTTATTCAAACGTTAGACTAGATGGAGTATGTAATCTAGTGGCTGTTTAACAATTGTCTGGTTAAGTTTTCAATGTAGGTATTGTCTCTTGTGTTTTTTAAGCCTGGCCTGTATAATGGGCCCAAAAGAAATTTTGTACCCTCTGATAAAATTTCTCATGAAGTCCTGTTGAGTGCTAATGGCACAATCTGATTCATGTTTACACTGTAAACTAACTCTAAGTTATTATTATATGTAGTGACTATTACAGTATAATTATATCTTTAGTTAGTGTAATTGATTGGACTAAAATACAAATACAGTTTAGTAACTAGCTTCGACTGACTGACTAATTTTAAATTAATTTCATTATAAATATTTTATAACTTTCATTGTACCACTTTAGAATAAATTGCTTACTTTCTTTCCTAGATTTTTTTTAATTATTAAATGTCTTTGCAAATTGCATCATTTTATTGCCAACATATCACGAAAATAAATAAGTAAATGTCGTTAGTCGATTAAGTTACATCCTCAAACTCCTGTTTTTTTTCTTTGTGAATGAAAAATTTCACCTGCAGATCACAGATTACAGGCACGAAATTTTGGTAAATTGTTTTAGTTATAATAGATAGAATTTAAAGACAATACCACTTTTTATATATAATATGACAAAAATTACGTTTTACCAGTCACATTTAGTTCTAAAAGTTATTGATACACAGTAAATAACTTTTATAACTTAACACACATTTAGAGAAGAAAAGTTATATAATATCTATATTTAATTCTCTTTATATACAGGGGGGGGTGCAGAAGTAGATATACAGTTGTTATGGAAAAAACATTACAGGGAGAAAATAGGGAGAAAAAACATTTGTTTTTATGTACAAATTAAATCACAAATAAGGAATATGAACTAATAAAAGATAATAATAATGAACACCGAACATATGTATTTTTCAGATTCTCAACTGTATACCTACTTTTGCACCCCTCTGTATAAAATTCTTCTATAGAAAATATTTTTATTATATTTTTTGTATATTCCTGACATAAATTTGCATGTCTGTCTAAAGTGAAAATTTATTTTTATATTTAGGTATTGCAGCAGGAAGTTTATTGGGTGGATTAAATATTGATTATAACGGAAGTCATGACACATTTCGAAAGGCCGGGCTGATAGCTATTTTATGTTGCTTGCTTCATGTAGTAATCAATGTAATTTTGTCTTGCAAGAAATCATCTAATATACGTAAGTTTAGAAAAATGATTAAATGATTTTTTACAATATATTACAGAATAGACATTTACAAGCAAATTTCATAAATAACTCCTATATCAAACTGAATATTTATTGACTGCTTTTTTGGAATCTAAATCACTTGAAATATATTAGTATTAAATGATGTAGATTCCCACAACTAAATGCAAAAATTAAACACATATTTTCAAACTGTTTACACTCCCAAAAATTCTTAGAAAATATATATTAATAATTTAACTAGATATTTGTGAGGATATTTAACTAATATTTGTGATATGATAAGGGCTCTTCTGTACACAGGAGTTGATAGAACATAACATTTTGGTAATCTGGCAGATTCCCAATATGTTATGGTCTTTCGACTTCCCAAATGGTCCAATTGTGAAGAGTAGTAACTCTTAGACATCCACCTCTTTGGGTGACATGAAACCTTTTCTTTCAATCTGGCCTGCCTGTGACATACTGTTACCGTAAGGTGCCAACAAACTGTTTAACCATCAAGGACATTTGATTATATCCTAGGTATTTTTATTGTCTGCTGCTTATTTTTTACACCTGAGTGTATTTGCAATGGTGGCTTTTTTGTTAAAAATAGAACTTTTTAGCTGATTACTTCATACTTCATCAATCACCCGTCATATAATTCTCTTAACTAAAAACCTTTCAATCTCCAGTGTTCTTCTTGGTAAACGTTTTCAACACTACCAGGGTCTTCTTCAGGCCACTGTTTTAATAAATTCAAACAGTACAAAATCAAACAGGAACTGAATAAATGCGATTCAAATCCTAGAACGTCAACGTTAATATCAAAAATATAGAACACCACGCTCTTGCATTGATGACTTCAAAGCTTGCGTAAGTTGTGCTTGTAATAAATCCACATTACATCAATTACGTGTGGGTTGTTCATAGCAAAATTTCCATGCACTAGAGATGTTGACTGCGTCTTTAGAGTTAATACATATGTTGTTTAATCCTGCTTTATAAATTTCTAAGGTCTCCATAATCCTTAGTTGGTCTACACGGTGTGATAGCCTAACTAGACGTGCATTCTGTAGATCAACCTTTATTCCAGGTTCTGTGGCTACGGTTGAAAGGGTGGTGGTGTGTTTATTATTATCTATATCATACTTATGCTCCTGGAGACGTTTACGAAGGGAGCGCTTGGTTGATCCCGCATACACTAACCTATTATTAAATTTGTCATCCCAAAGGGGGATAGAATATATTCCCGGTGCGCTTTCCCGTTGCGGAGTAAGCTATAAATAGATCTTGGCCTACTGTACGCTATTTTATTATTAGTGCGGGAAGAGATTTCTCTGTATAACTTGTCAAGATGGTGGTTGTACTCTACTATTTTTCTTTTATTATTTCCGTCAAGGGGAACATCTGGGATGTCAGGAGTATTGCACGCGCTCCTCTGTATATACATTCGTGCTATATTATATACCAAGTTTTCACTGTATCCATGTTGCGTGGCCATTTCTTGGATGTTATCAAGCTCAGCTATGGTGTCATCCCATTCGGAATGGTGGGTGAATGCCCTTATAGTCAATGCCCTAAATGCTGCTATCTTATAGGAGTAAGGATCTTCTGAGTTGGCAGGGATGAACATTGGTACATAGCATTTTTTGTAAAAAACTTTGAAAGAAATCCTATTATTCATTAATTGAATGTCCAAGTCAAGAAAGTGTGCGGCTATATTGCTTTTTTTTCAACCGTCATATATTTCAGTAAACCATAGAAAGTTTTCATCTTGGTTTAGTCACATTAAAACTGGGAAAGAGAATAATAATGAAGTGATAGATTGAACTAATTAGAACATTTTTCAGGATAGGAATGCAAAAATACATTTTTTGAAATGTTTAATCTATTCTTGTGCTGCGGTTTGAACTTTGGCACCATCTTTAATTTTTGAGAACAATCAGTTGATAACCCATATCTGATGATGTCAGGCCTGGGTTATAAGCAGAATACAGAATAATTTTTAAAAATTCTTTTTTGTATCATGAGGATAAAAAAGACCGTTTCTTTTGACCTTTCTCTGCCAGTACTTCTCCAAGTTGTTTCCAATGATCAGTAGTTAGAGTGTCGTTTATCCGAATCAATTGGGGAATGGGGTTGTTCGGATAACCGATTATGTACAAAAAAGTACATTAACCTATCTCGTGCTGAAATTTTTCTCTGTTGCATGTCTCTTCGTGTTGATTTTTCGTCGATGTTAAGCCTAACGAAGACTATTGTATCATTAAAAATTATTTTTTTATTTTGTACAAACAAAATAAATATATTGAAAAATATAAAAACAATAAAAAATTATACTTCAGAAGTTAATTTAGTATCAAAAACGCAAAATATTTGAGTAGCCAAAGATTGCAGCGCCACAGCACTCGCGAAAATTTAAATTTGCCGACTGAAATTCTTTCGGATAATCGACGCTCTACTGTATTTTATTTTGGTTTGCTCTTTATTTTTTTCTAGAAGTCCTTTCATATTATTTTATTGTCAGGAAATTTTTAAAATTCAATATTTTCGAACTCCTTCATAATTCCAAATATATTCATAATCCATATTAACCATATAATTTCATACGTATTCCTATTTTTTGTACATCATAATTAATCAGATTAAATTTATAAATTTATTTTGTTTAAAATTTACATTAACAACTTACATCTTTGATTGTTCTCTTTCACTTAATCTACACTCCAATTCATTCCAATCTCTTCTTTTATACGTCTCCCTCCCTCTCCCTTCTGGTATTATTATATTGATGTGTTCGTGTAATTGTCTGTTATAATTTTTTTTTATTGTTAATTGTCTACTTGGACTTTACTTATTAATAGGACTTTATACTGGTGTCTAAAGATTGGCACAGTACTGAGAGTTAGTTTAGGAAAGAACAAAATTTCTTTATTATATCACCTCTAGTAATAATTTCTGTACACACATTATACATGTTTCGGGCTAGCATGCCCCTCATCAGTAGTATTACCACTTAACACTAAAAGTAACAACAACAAACAGATAAGTTACTGTATAATTTAAAAGAATTTTTTCCTTTAACTAATAAATTACAATTTTAAAACTTACTGTAAATACATATTCCAATCCCAAATATAAATGGATCTTTCACTTTTTTACAATTAATCCTTTTTACTGTATAAATTAAAATCAAATAAATATATTAAATAAAGGCTGTAAATTATTAAAATCAAACAACATCACATAAGAAAATCAACTCACATCAAGGCTTCATTTGTCACCATTCAACAGTGTCATGAAAAGAAGACTGTTAACTATGCTTTTTTATAAACGTCATCAAGTATGGTGCTCCAAGATTGGTGGATTATATGACCTAAATTATTATTTATTCTATTTATTTCTTTCTTTATGTTTAAATGTTCGTATAATTGACATTTATAATTATTTGATTCTTTTTTCTTAATTTTTATAGTATTTTTGTCAATTTGGCACCCATAACTATTGCAGTGTTCTGCTACTGCAGAATTTGCATAATTACCCCTTATTGCACGTATGTGCTCTTTTATTCTTGTACTGAATTTTCTTTTTGTTTCTCCAATATAAATTTTGACTGGATCACAGCTGCAATTGAATGAATACACAATTTCTTTTTCTTCCGACCTATGATATAAATATCTTTTAAATAAATTATTTTTTTCAAGTATTAAATTCACTTTTCCATTTAGTATATTTTTCACTCTCTCAAATAATTTAGGTACATATGTCAAATTTACACATATTTAATCTTTTTTAAATTTTCATTTTTATTATCATTATTATTATTAGTCCAGTTTAACCATTTTTCCAGTATTTTTTTGGGGTAACTATTCAGTAAGAACATTTTTATAACTTGTTCTATTTCTACCTCTTGATTTTCTAATTTACTAGTTCTGTTTTTAATTTTTTCTATGTACATTTTAAAGATGTTAAATTTCATAGTTTGTGGAACATTGGTTTTGTAATTTAATAGTTTTGGTATTTGCATAGGTTTTATAAATTTTCTGAATTCCAAATTATTGTCATTTCTATTAATGGTTATATCTAAATAATTTAGACTATTATTACATTCTGTTTCGGCTTCAAATTGTATGTTTGTTTCTATTAAATTTTCCTATTTTAAAATTTCATCTTCCCTAGTCTTTCTACTATCAAATAAAATAATACAATCATCTACATACCTATTATAAAATATTATTCCTTTTACACAGTGCGGCAATTATGTTAGACTGGATGTAGCTTTTCGGAGATTAGTAAAATCAAGTCAGACTCGCGTAACTAGTTATATAACAAAGAACAAAGAGTGCACAAAAGATTACACAGTCATCACTCCTGGAAGGTCAGCGCTCGAAAGGGGAGAGTGAAACTAGGTCACCTTGCCCGAGGGGTCAGGAGCGCCACCAACCTTTTATTACGTCATAAGAACGTTACAGCACATCGCGATCGTTGATTCCAACAAATTATATTCCGGGACTGGATCTATAAAAATGAAACAAAACAATTTTATTCAAATCTTTTTATTAAATTATTCAAAATACTCTCCTCCTGCTTCAATACACTTTTTACAGCGATTCAATAGTGATTCAAATGCCTGCTCAAACTCAATTTTCGGTATTGCCTCTAATATGCGCGTAGACTCTCTTTGGATGGTTTCAATATCATTAAAAATGCGTCCTTTCAACTTCATTTTCATTTTTGGAAATAAAGAGAAGTCACATGGTGCTAAATTGGGGGAATACGGTGAATGATTCAACACACAGACTTGATTTTGTGCCAAAAATTGACGAACGATCAATGATGTGTGATTCTGTGCATTATCGTGTAACAAACACCAATCATCAGAATTGCGATATTCTGGTTGAATTTGACGAATTATTCCGATTAATCGTTGTAAAACTCCCAAGTAGAAAGCAGCAGTAACTGTTTGACCCTGTGGGACAAACTCACAGTGGATGATGCCTTTGCTA